ACTGTCGCATATTCCCAAGACGAAAAGTGTACTAAATGCATATTTATTGTAGGTACATTGGAAATAATTTTTGATTTCTAAAACCTTTTTCATTCTATCAGGATGCTTCAAGAAATTTGTTTAGGAAGGTATCAAATAGTAGCCCAATTTTTAGCTAAAGCCCTAGCTAGGCGGAATACGACTGTACCAGTAATTAGAAACATTTTTGCCGCATATTTGTTCTTGTGTAGAAATGTGGCACCGTTTTGATTTTTTGGACTAACGCATGACCACCACACAAGCGGATAGCACAGTATCACAATTCGCAAACACTACTACTGAGTCGAGACTTAGAGAGACAAGTGCTACTTATTTTTTCAATATGATCAGATATCAGGAATATCCGCTTATCAAAAAAATAAAGGCGCGACAAATTTCGATTTTTACAAATAAATTGGCGAGAAAGTTGCGCCCAATAGTTTTCACATTCTGAACCTACCATTTCAAAGAAATTCGATTACACTTGTTCATTTTAACTGTTACAAAAAATGTTCCAATTCCCTTTTTTAGCTAAAGTTCTAAACGGGATACGATAACTAATAGGCGACACTGACAAATTTATTTAAAAAAAGTGTTAATAAAGTGATTTATTTTAGGTGTTCGAAGTGCCGGTTTATTAGGCTCTACCATACCTAAGTCCTAAGTGAATTCATTCATGCACATGTCTATCTAATAACTATAAAAATCTATAAATCAGTCAAATTGATTAGAAAAACTCACAGGAAATAAAGGGGTAATTAAAAATGTTAACAAACAATGCTAATCTAGTCCACTAATGACCTAAGAACCAGGTAATTTACAGAAGGTGTCATTATAGAAAAATGCATTGAATAAGTAATTTACGCAATAGTAAAAGAAATAGGCATTTGTGCATCTCCATTCAAATCTTGTACAGCTTTTCGCTAAACTTGTTTACATAATATTAGTCCTTGACCATTATACGTGGTCTATTGTGTTTAACAATAAATGAAGAGAATATGCAAAACTGGAAAGGATAGAGATACATCGTTGCTCTCACTCAAGGAGTAGGTACATCGTCTAGAGATGTGTATTGTTGGTGGTCTAACCAATTGCAATAACATTGAAATACAGAAGCAAAAAGGTCTTTTTAAATTACCTCCGGAGTCCTCCATTTATAGTGCAGAATTGTATGCTATAAAACAAGCACTAAAGTACGTCCTAAACAGTGAACACGATACCTACTGCATACTGACCGATTCTCTGAGTGGCATACAGAGCATGGCCGATATTTATTCGCGCAATGAATATATGAAGGAAATAGACGATCTCCGACGGCAGATTCATGACCGCAGTAAACACCTACAGTTTGTATGGATTCCGTCGCACACGAACATTACAGGAAATGACACAGTGGACCGGCTCGCCAAAGAAGCTACTCACAAAACCACACAAGATGAACAGTGCATGCTGAGAAATGACTGTAAATCATTACTACAGAGTACAATCCATCGGAAATGGTTAGACCACTGGACAGCCCTGGCAGAACGAAAACAATACTTCCTTCCCCCTCGTCCTCTGAAATGGACCGGTTCGCTACACTAACGAGAAAAGAAGAAACGGTGCTGAACAGGGTAAAAATGGGCCACACTAGAATGACTCACGATTTTCTACTACAGAACAGCGTTCAACCTATGTGTGAACAGTGTAATGTGATATTGACCGTTAGACATATATTGCAGGACTGTCCCAAATATCAACAATCGAGATTAGACCATGATGTTACTAACGATTCCTGTACTAAATTGTTTACCTGTCCTATCGATATTGTTAAATTTTTAAAAGCTACAGATCTATTTATGTTACTGTAAGACTTATTGTAACAGTGCTGTAAGACCTATGTGTTAAAAAGCACTCATAAAACTCCTAATAAAAAAAATAAAAAAAAAAAATTGACTACAGAGGAGCCTTAATTCACTGTACAATGTGAGGGCTTCCCAATTTAAACTGTGGATTGGCTGCGTATATACGGCGTATACCTCCGTATTTTTAACAAAAGGGCATGGTATACGCTTCTAGGAAAAAAAAGGGCAAAGTATACGCCGTATACCTTCGTATATCCCGGATGACAACCGCCCATAGGGCCCCTATGATGTGGATGATATTGATGAACTAGTATGCGAATTCAAAAATGTAAGACACGAAGAGAAAGTCAACATTTTTTGTCAACTACAAACACACACTAAATGTGGAAGAATTTTGGTATAATATTGGTGGCGTTCGAGATTCTGAAGGACAAATGAAATATGCTAAACTAATCAATGTTGTAATTGTGTATTTTTGGAATATTTCATTGCTAAAAGGAAGTATATGCGTAAAAGTAAATAATGCAATACAGTAATTTAGTCATGTGCTAAAAAAATTATAAACATGTTGCCTTTTAGATACCAGGTTTTGGAGATATAAACTATTTTCATCAAACGCACCGCCTCTCTCCTTTTTTTCACCGGCTAAAACTCTACTGCTGCCCTGCTTTGACAAAAAAGAGTACACGCCGTAGCTTTGGCAGTATATTTGCACTTACAGAACCCGATTTTTTTGTGAACCTGAATAAGCAAAGCTACTTTATACACCGCCGCGCATACGGTGGCTCTAAAAAGTACCGATCATCTACCGCAAATAAGATCAAAAGTTATAAACACAACCTAATTCTCAATGGTGGTTATCTGAAGTGTAATACAACTCTTAAGTTTAAGGTGTCCGTAATCTGATCTATCAAAAAAGGTATAAATAAAATGCTAAATGCGGTATTTTAGTGCTTGTAGTTAAAACGTACTTCCATTAGAATTTCATTCAGCATCATCCAATTTCATGAATGCTTTGCGGTATGAGATATAGGATATTGCATCTCTAGATTTTCTTTTTCGAACTCATCTCAATTTTATTACAATCATTAAACGGTTAGGAGATGTGCTATCGTTCATTGATGTGCCACTTTAGAATTGCTTTTAGCATTTATAGGTTTGAAAGTGGGTTAGTTCGGAAACTCACACGTTAACCTTCATGATTAAGGATGCAAAACCCACACCGTACCCTTAGCTTATGACAGACTTGTCCTTTGATTAAACTTCGAACAGTCTGTCAGAATTTACATTTTGGGTTGGGCAACTAATACAGAAAAAGTTCAAGCGCTGGCGTTATGCTCAGTTTTGTGTTAGTAATAAACACTAACGTGGGTTAAAAAGGTGTTTAGAGATTTCAGCGGTTTATATCAATATCCAGTAGCAGGGACGTATCTGGACAAAAATTTGGGGGGTGGGGGGTTAAACCATGGAATTTGATTTTGATAATAAATTAGGGATTTAAAAAAACTGTCATTTTTTAATAGGTGCATGTGTATTATATGAAAATATCAGGTTAAAGAAAAAACAAACAATTTAAAATTTTACAAATAGTAATCATAGTAGCAATTGAATATTTCTTTGCTTAACAGAGCAAGTCCTGTTAGTCGCTCTTGACCAGTAGAATTGCGCAAATAGTCTTTCAAACGTCTTAGCGAGGAAAAGGATCGTTCTGAGGAGGCAGTAAATACGGGTAATGTGGCCAGAATTTGCAACAGAATATGAATATTGGGGAAAAATGATCGATTACATGCTGATAATGCATCAAGAGCGTTTTTAGGCCTTTCTGCATGAGGCACTGCAATCCATTTTTGTTTCCACAACTGTAATTCTGCAGATACTGTATCTAGATCCTCCAAAAATTCCTCGCATAACATTAAGTCTTCTATTTTTGCTGTGTGTGTATCGCACATAGTTGGCAATAGAAAGTATAATGATGAAAGTAATTTTTCGTGCTTTGCAAATCTTGTAGATAACTCTTCAATAAATTGATCGAAAAAAGGAATTCCAATTGTGATTCGGTAATATTCTTCTGCGGTAGCTACCACGACATTAGAACGATTTTGCTGCCGTGAAACTATTCTAGTCTAGGTATTTTTATGCATTCTTCCTCATCTACAGACTTTATAAGGGCTTCGGCTTCTTTAAAAATATTTTTAAATTCTTGATTATATTCAATCTCATGTTCCTGATCTGATTGATAACAGTATTTACATGCTCAACAGCACTACATAGATCAAAATCTACAGTCTGTAGAATTCTGCATAACGGTAGAGTAAAAGCAAATAAAGTGGACGCGGTTAACATACTGATAATAAACTCACTGGTCATAATAGCTCGAAGGAACTGCAAAGCTTTTGAGGAAGTTTCGATGTCTTTTACTTGTTTTAGATCTTCTAATGTTTCAACCATTGGTTTAAACACTTCAGTAAACCTAATTAGTCCATCATGATTTTCCACCCACCGAGTTTCACACATGGATGTTAACTTAGACCACCTATTATTTGGAACATGTACTTTGATTTTATTTTTTAGCATCTCAGTGCGCATAGCTGATATTTTTATAAAGTTTGCAATAGATTTTATTGTTCCGATACAATTTCTGATACTCTGAACCTTACAGGAATGGGCAAGAGCTAAATTTAAAGAATGAGCACTGCAGTGCACATATATGGCTGCTGGATATTTCTCTCTAATTATAGCCTGCACACCATTAAAACTCCCACTCATTGCAGCAGCTCCATCATAACCCTGTCCAACCATGTAAGTGCAATTTACTCCAAGTTCTTGAAAACTCTCCAACATTACCGTAGCTAAATTTTTACCAGTAGTACTATCGACAGCTACAAATGTCAAAAAATCTTCTCGTAATTGTTACGGAATTAGTATTAGACGTGGCTGTAGCCACAATTGACGATACATTAGTTAGCGCTAGTTGACTAATGACCTTCACATACAATTGTGATGACATGTAAGCAAGCCGTCACTTACAATATACTTACTTAAGTAAATCCTGTGTCATCCTTATTTATAATTGTCGCCCTATAATTAACATGGTGTCAGAAGTGTCTTTGTCTTAAGTTGTAGTCGTTAAACGTCGTCATGCCAAATCAAGTAGTCGAAACTGCTACCGTCGCTGCTACCACTCCTAGAAACAAGGTAGCTGGATCTACATGTTCCATCCAACATCTTAACATCGCCAGCAAGAATCTGTCTTATGAATGGAAGAGGTGGTTCACCCAATTCAAGATATATTTGAGAGCGACAAGTCTTGAACGGGAAGAGAATGGTCGCAAGGTGGCTTTATTGTTGCACCACATGGGCCCCGAAGCATTAGAAATCTTCAATAGTTTCGATGTCAACATCGATAGTGTAACCTATGACAACTTAATCAGTAAATTCGAGAAACACTTCACTCCAAAAACAAACATTTCCATCGAGAGGCACAAATTTTTCACGAGACGTCAACTTGAGGGTGAGTCGTTAGAAGAGTTCGTTACAGCATTATCAAACTTAAGTCTAACGTGTGATTTTACGGAGCTGCGCGAAAGTCTAGTTAAAGACATCTTTACTTGTGGTCTTAACTCCGGATTCGCAGAAGTTAAACAGAAAATTATATCTGAAGGTGCAATCACACTCGACAAGGCTGTTGAATTGGCTAAGACGTACACATTGTCCAAAATCGAAGCCGCTAGCTGTAGTGTCGTAGGAGCAGTTCATTACAACACAAGTCACAATGAAATGGGTCAGCGCAGGTGGAAAAATCGTGCACACCAAAGGTCAACGAGTCCATCCACTAGACGAACGACACCGTCCATTAGACGAACAACGTCTCCCAGTCCGGTAAGCCGAGATCGAAAGAATATCTGTCAAAGGTGTGGTCAGCATCATTCGATTCAGGTGCCCAGCAGATGGGGTAAAGTGTAGCTATTGTTTTAAAATTGGTCATTATGCTAAAATGTGTCTTAGAAATAAGAATGTCAAGTCGCTAACTGTAGATACAGGTGATGAATTATTTATAGGGTCAATTTCGTATGTGTGTTCTGTTAAAAAGTCGCAATGGGAAGTACCTGTGTCTATTAATGGTACTATTCTATTATGTCAATTAGACACAGGGGCAGAAACAAACGTCATGAGTTTGACAGACTTTAGTCGCCTTAATTTAAAAAAAGGCTTAATTAATGTAAGTCATAATAGCGTTAGAACCGTAAGTGGAGAAAGGCTTGAATTAGCAGGCGAAGTCGATTTAACTTGTCATATTCAGAGTAGTGATCACATAATTAAATTTCATGTCATAAAAGTCGGATGTAAACCTATTCTTGGATTACAAACATGTATCGATCTAAAACTTCTTAAAAGAGTGAACCAAGTAACTTTTAACAAATATGAAGTCCAGTCCACTCAGTCTATAATTACTCAGTATAATGAAGTCTTCAAAGGTCTATGTCTAATAAAAAGTCAGTGTCGTCTACAAATAAACAAGAACGTGACACCTATAAGGGAACCGTTGCGTAAAATACCATTTAAACTATACGAGTCTCTGAAAACGGAATTAATCAGAATGCAAGAATTAGATGTCATCAGTCCCGTTTCGGAACCAAACCAATGGGTTAACAGTATCGTCCTTACATCTAAGAAAAATGGCAGCATTCGTGTGTGCCTAGATCCGCGCAACTTAAACAAAGCAATCCTTCGTGAGAGTCGTGCGCACTTATCCCTTCCAATTAGGGTTGCCAGATGGTATCCAAAAGGAGGACATGTCCTCCTTTTCCATGCTTTGTCCTCCCGTCCTCCCTTACCTACTCTAAGTCCTCCTTTTTTGCTAAACGTCGGGCCGGACTGGACTACTGGAGTGACGCGAAAAAGGGAACGATGTTAAGCTACACGATCAATTTTGTAACTTGATTTCATTTCTTAAATCAAATGAAGATGAAGCATATTATTATGATTTGAAGTTGCACGAGCAGTGGACAATCTACTTCAAAAGTGTTAAAAACATAGAATGTTTCTCAGAACTGCTCAAGATCTGCGAGTTTTATTTTTGTGTAAGCGCACATAATGCAAATGTGGAACGAGTTTTTTCCCTAATTAATACTCAGTGAAGCAAAGAGAGGAATAGACTAAGTGTGCAATCAGTTAAATCTTTAATTCTTACTCAATACAACTTCAAAAACATGACATGTGAAGATTTTTACAGTTATTTGTTAAAAAACCAAGAACTTCTTTCCAAAATTGGCAGCTCAGCTAAATATGATTAAAATAAAGTAAAATATTCTAAAAAATTCGTTTAATTTCTGAATGTCCTCCTTTTTTACAGAAAATCCTCCTTTTTAGACTCATATGCCCTCCTTTATCAAATTATTATCTGGCAACCCTACTTCCCAAGCATCGATGTCATTAGATCCCAGTTAAACGGATCTAATTATTTCTCAACCCTAGACGCTAATTGGGGGTTCTGGACCATTGCTTTGGATGAGGAGTCTTCAAAATTATGTACGTTCATCACACCATTCGGTAGATTTCGTTTTAAACGTCTTCCATTTGGAATTTCAGCAGCGCCAGAGATTTTTCACTCTACAATGACTGAATTGTTTGCAGACATCCCTAACACAGTAGTCTACTTTGATGATCTGCTAATTCACGCACTAACTAAAGAAAAACATCATGAGATATTGGAGCAGGTGCTTAAGCGCGCTAAGGAAATAAATTTAAAATTTAATTTAAATAAGTCTCAGTTTTGTCTTAATAAAGTCACGTACATGGGTCATGTGTTCTCAAAGGAAGGCATGACACCAGATCCGAATAAAATTAAAGCTATTGTAGACATGAGTCAACCAAAAAATTCACAAGAACTACAAAGATTCTTGGGAATGCTTACATATTTGTCAGCATACATCAAAAATTTTTCTGAAGAAACACAGCAGTTGAGAATTCTTCTAAAAAAGAATGTTATATGGAATTGGGACACAAATCATACAGCTACATTTAACAAATTAAAAACCTTAATTACAAAAGCCCCAGTTCGAACTTACTTTGACCAGACTAAAGAATTAATTTTGTCATGTGACGCTTCACAAAATGCAGTAGGAGCCGTTATACTACATGGATCAAATCCAATTGCCTACTCGTCAGCCTGTCTTACCGAAGCTCAAACTAATTATGCTCAAATTGAAAAGGAGCTGCTAGCGATTGTTCACGGTTGTCTAAAGTTCCACCAATTTATCTTTGGTCACAAAATCACGGTCCATACGGATCATAAACCATTAGTGCCTTTATTCATAAAAGCATTACACAAAGTGCCACAAAGACTACAAAGGTTTATGCTCAAAATTCAGTGCTATGATCTCAATGTCATGTACAAACCTGGTAAAGAAATGTATATTTCGGACACATTATCCAGATCGCCTTTGTCAGACTCCATTGTAGATTTACAAGAAGATATCACGTTACACATAAATATGCTCAAGTCATGTTTAGAAGTGTCACCTGAAACATTAGAGTCCTTTCGAAAGGAAACTCAAAATGACGAGGAATTGCAAACCATCGTAAAACTTTGTCAAACAGGTTGGCCCCTAGCCAAGAGTAATCTTTCCCCAGAGACTAAACCATATTACAAATTTCAAGAGGAAATTAATGTACTTGATGGGCTAGTGTTCAAAGGAAATAACTTAGTGGTTCCAAAAGCTCTTAGGTCAAAAATGCTAACTAAAATTCATACGGGTCATTTTGGTGTACGTAAATGCCTTGATTATGCTAAGAATGCATTATTCTGGCCTAATATGTCAAATGACGTGCGAAATATTGTAACGACATGTGTAGCGTGTCAGGAATACAGTAATAACAACTCAAAGGAACCTTTATTGCCACACGAAATTAAAGCAATACCATGGAACAAAGTAGGTGTTGACTTCATGGAATTAAAGGGAAATAAATATCTTATTTGTATAGATTATTTCTCTAAATTTATTGAATTATCAGTACTTAGGAATGGCACAAACGCAAAAATAGTCATCAATGAGCTGAAATCCATATTTAGTCGACAAGGAATACCTGTCACACTAATTTCAGACAATGGACCTCCTTTTAACGCAGTAGAATTTGCCAATTTTATCAAAGAGTGGGACATTCAACACATCACGACAAGCCCGTATCACTCACAGTCCAACGGTCAAGTCGAACGAGCAATCGGAACTATCAAGAGAATGCTAATGAAAACTATCGAGTCGAATGGAGATCCCTATCTAACATTATTACAGTATAGGAATACACCAAACGATAGCAAGAACAGTCCTGCTCAACTCCTGATGTCTCGTCGTCTTAGATGTTCCCTGCCAGTTCATGCAGATTTGCTTCTACCGAAACCAATAGATGTAAATCGTTATGAAAATTAGGTCGAAGATAGAAACAAGAGGATGAAAGACATTTACAATAGAGGAGCAACCAAACTACCAGAATTAATGACTGAAGACGATGTATTGTTTAAGAAGATTCCATCAGATAAGAAATGGATACAAGGAAAAATAACGCAGGTTGGTCCTGAGCCAAAAAGCTACATCATTCAATCTAGGGATGGGATGCATTATAGACGAAATAGGGTTCACATAACGAAATTTTACAAATCCAATTGTAATCCAGAATATGGTAAATCGAATAATACACACGTAGATCTTAATACCGATTATAATATAGATAATAATTGCAATGATTGTAATAATTACTGTATTTATAGTAATTTTGATAATGTTAATAATGAACCTGCTAATGACAATGGTTCGACTCCGAACCTTAATGTAACTACTCGCTCAGGCAGACAAATTAAGGTACCTAATAAATTAGAGAGAGATGTTACGGAATTAGTATTAGACGTGGCTGTAGCCACAAGTGACGATACATTAGTTAGCGCTAGTTGACTAATGACCTTCACATACAATTGTGATGACATGTAAGCAAGCCGTCACTTACAATATACTTACTTAAGTAAATCCTGTGTCATCCTTATTTATAATTGTCGCCCTATAATTAACAGTAATGTGTCGTGTTCTTGATCAAAATCTATGTATCTTATACAAAGAGATAACTGTTCTGTACGAGAAATATCTGTCGTTTCATCCATCAAAATCGAAAAGTATTTTGCTTTGTTTATTTTATCCACAATTTTATCTTGTATTATTTCGCCACAAATTTTGATGATATTATTTTGAATTATTGGGCTTATGTACATTGCGTTCAACGATTGTGATTGAATGTGATCAATTAAATTTTTGTCTCCACATGAGAGGCGCATACGAAGTAACGCCCTGAAATTTCCGTCATTATGAGTGGGCTGGTCCAAAGTTATGGGTCCAGAATCGGAAGATCCTCGTAAAACTAATTCTTGCCGCCCAGAGAAGATAATTGTTTCAATCATAGGAACTAGTTTTCTTCTATTTTCTGCAATTTGTTTGGAACGACTCGAATCGAGCTGCATCATGATATCTGGTGCAGATCTATTAAAAGTTCCAATAAAGTTATCGGCAAGAACAGAGTTTTTTTTGTGATAGTCGGTTTTACTGTGTTGAATGAATACCTCAATAGCATCTTTCCACTTGTTAAAAGGTTTTGCAACTAATGCGTTCAGCTTCTGATGATCTCCTTTTCCACCAAATTCATATGAGAAGACTGCACAATATTTACAAACTGCACCTTGATCACCTTTAGCAGTATAACTAAGCCACTGAAAGCGTTTTAGCCACAGTAATTGAAATTTTAAGTTTCTCTTTGTAGATATAGGAAACTTATATTTTTCATCCGGAACCCACCCAGCCGTCAATAGTTTGTACTTAAGAGCATCATCAAGTTTTTTTATCAAAACAACAACCGATGTCTAATTCATGGATATTGGTTTCAGACATTGTTGTTTCATCTTTATGCAGCATCAGATTTACTGG